TCGTAACAAGCAGACAAATCGACTCTGGACGCCAATTGTCAAGTCAACTCATTCAACGGCTATGTTCACCTACACAGATCCGGCCGAGCTTGCTTCTACCTGGCATCGACGACTTGGTCACCTTCACCCGGATGCGGTTATCATTTTTCTACGCCGACATAAACTGATATCTTTGTCAAGAAAGGATTTCCTTCCCTGTGATTCCTGTGCGATGGGTAAACTCAAACAATCCCCATCCACTCATTCATTTCATCGTTCTCCTGGTGTTCTCAATCTTGTACATAGCGACTTAATTGGTCCTATATCTCCTGCCACTAAAACCGGTCTGAAATACATAGTAACTTTTATTGATGATCACACACGATATAGTATGGTCTACTTGTTGAAATCCAAAGATCAGACTTTTGAGGCTTTCAAACAATACAAAGCTCTCATGGAAAACAAATGTGGCAGCAAGATTAAGAAACTCAAGTCAGATTGAGGAGGAGAGTACTCCTCCAACAAGTTCCTCAATTTCCTTCAGCAGGAGGGTATTGAGATTGAACGAGGTCCTGCAAATCGTCCAACTGCAGATTCAGTATTGGAACGATACAACCTCACGATACTTAGCAAGACGCGATCGCAACTCATTCAGTCAGGTCTTCCCTTATACTTATGGGGGGAGCTAGTGAAGTATTGTTGCATTCAAATCAATTGTTCACCGACTGCCGCTCTTTGTCATAAATTGCCCATAGAAGTTTTTGAATCTCTTCTTCCTGGGCACGTACATCCTTTTGACGTAGATCGCCTGAAACCTTTTGGTTCATTGTGTTTTGCTGTAGATCGTAATCGTAAGTCCAAGATGGCTCCCATAGCTCGTCGTTACATTTTTCTTGGTCTGGAAGATGGTGCTCGAGCGGCACGTTTGTGGGACAAGGCATCCGGACGGGTTTTTGTGACTGGAGATGTGGTTTACCGAGAGGGGGTTTTTCCAGCTCATCATCCCACTCTATCTCCTAATGTCAAGGACGAATTCATTCTACCTGAGTATCCGGATGAAGCCGTCACGTCTCCAGGACCATCAAACATCCCTGAAGACTCTTCAGCAGACAAAAACAATCCCGAAGAAATGTCACCGATCCAGGATGAGTCGAAAAGCCTTCATAACACACCTTCGATTCACAGCCTCGAGAGCGACGGATCCTCATCAGCGCCATCATTCCGGCCATCCAAAATCATTCCGTTATCTCAATCAATCCATGCTCCTAGGCCTGGCACCTCATCTCAACCGATTCCGGCAGAGGAACCCAACCAAAACCAGAAGATCACCCCAATCATCACAGATCTCAGACTAAGGCGTCAGGAATCCTTGTCTCCCCCATCGTCTCACTCTTTGGCATCGTCTGTGAATCAGTCATCAGGTGTATCTTCGAACGACCAACCGGATGTCACATTCCCGGCTTCAAACAGATCACCATCTATCCAATCACCTGTATCTGTACATGAAACCATTCGCTCGCCTTCGTTATCGCCTGTTCCATCTGCACCAACATCTGACAGACAGCTATCAAAATCACCAAGCCCAGAAGTCCAAATTCAGGTTACATCACCGGCCAAATCACCTTCTCCGCCAGCTCGATTGCCCACACCGCCGCCTTGCATACCTACACCTCCACCGGTAGCTCCTACCAAGCTTGCCGTGAAAACGGACCCTCCTCCAATGCGCAGATCGTCGAGAACGCGTCAGGCACCGGACCGGTACGGTTTTCTGTCGCAATCGAATGTTGCAGTGTCCACGTCACCCATGTTGATCACTCCACATTGAACGTTCATCCCAAATCATTATGGGTTCTCTGCTACAAACGGAACGGATCCTGATAGTCCAACATATTCGCAAGCCATGTCAGGGCCAGACAAACAGGCATGGGTTCATGCGATGCAACAGGAGTTTGATTCCCTAACTGAGCATGGTGTCGGAAAACTTGTCGAACCCCCTCCAGGAGCAAATGTTCTTGGGGGGATGTGGATCTTCAACAAGAAGAGAGACGAGCACAACCGTGTAATACAATTCAAGGCTCGCTGGGTGGTTTTGGGAAATCATCAAATCAAAGGTGTGGACTATAACAACACTTATGCATCTGTAGGCAAACTCGACTCTCTACGCATCCTGTTGGCATTGGCTACTGTTAAGACCAATAGACGCACACGCGGACGTATGAAGGTGAGGCAGTTTGATGTGGTCACGGCCTTTCTGAACGGAAACATGAAGGATCTAGTTTATGCCATTCAGGTTAAAGGTTTTGAGAACCCTACTTTACGTCACCGGGTCTGGCAACTAATCAAATCACTCTACGGAACTAAGCAAGCAGCCAGGCGATGGCAACAACACTTCGGGGCAACTGCTGCTGGATTTGAACTTCATGCTACCACTTCCGATACAGCTGTATACGTTCTAAAATCAACTCTGGGTCTTCTTATCTTACATCTTCACGTCGATGATTTGCTTATTTTCTGCGACAATGATGATCTCTTTCTCAAATTTCAGACCTTCATAAATTCAAAGTACCAGCTTAAGTGGACCGACAAACCAACACTTTACTTAGGCATCAAGCTGGATATATCTCAAGACGGGTCTGTTATTAAAATTTCACAATCTCATTACATCGAGGCTGTTCTAGAGAGATTCGCGATGGTCAACTGCAAGCCTTCTAAATCGCCTCTTCCTCAAAAGCTTGTGCTCACTCCTGGTACTATTGACGAAATCGAGGAGGCAAAGAACATTCCATATCAAGAACTGGTTGGATGCCTTCAATGGATCGCGACATGCACACGACCAGACATCGCATACGCAGTATCTCAATTGTCGAAATACAACTCAGCCTGGACGATCACTCACTGGACAGCGGCAAAGCACTTACTTCGTTATCTCAAGGGCACTCAAGATCTTTCAATCACTTACTCTGGGCGGATTGAGGAGCCTCAAGCGTATTCCGACTCCGATTTCTCACAATGTCCGTTGACTAGAAAGTCTGTTACTGGGTATGTTGTCACGGTGGCAAATGGAGCCGTAAGTTGGAAGTCTCAACGCCAATCGGTGGTGGCTTTATCAACGTCGGAGGCTGAATACCTTGCTGCAACAGAGTGTGCCAAACATATGTCGTGGGTGAGATCATTTTATTTTGACATTATGCATCAACTAGAGAAGCCTACCCCGTTTTACATAGATAACACTTCGGCTATATTCACTGCAACTGGCGATGGAATCAAATCAAGATCCAAACACATCGACAGAAGATTTCATTATATTCGAGAGATTATTGAATCAAACAACTTAATCATTCATCACATACCAACTGAAGAGATGTTAGCGGATCATTTAACTAAACCATTAGGTCCTATAGCACTCAAACATGCATTACAGCTTAATCATATGATAGAAATGTAGCTGAAATAGGGGGGATGTTGAAGTAAATAGATTAGTTACATGATACTCATTTCACGTGCATGACATTTACATTTGATTTATATTTCATTTCTAATTTACTTTCATATTTGTGTAGCGTTACATGTTTGTATGTTTTCATCTGTACACAAAACAACAGGAGGCGATAAATTGTATCGCTGTAGTGATTTCCAATGATACCGCCGACATCTTACCTCACGAAGGCCTGTCCGCTGAAGAAGAAGACTTCCGACCCACTTTCGAGCGTCTTGTCAACATTTCGAAAGTTAAAGACGAACTTGCACTTAGCCGCAATGTAACCCAAATTGCTAAATTCCAAGAAAAGGGCATTAAACAAATGGAATTCATCCATTCATCGGTAAGTAGACATTGCTTGTTCTCAAATTTATTGTTTTTTCTCAATTGTCATTACTAAACTAACTGATTTGGTAACCTCCTCATCAATTCCCAGCTTCAAGCGGCCCACAAGACCTACGGTATGCACTATCACCTGTTAGTGGCATCTTGGCACCCTACTACCACCAACCCTTACGCCGGATGGAGTAAAGAGTTCAGTTCAGACCCAGTCTACCTCAGCTCATTCTCCTTTGGCAATCACCTATTGGAGCGATTCGACCGATTTGTCACTGGTCGCAACCGTACAACTCGGCAGTCCAAGACCCCGTCCGTAACTCCAAACAACCAACTACGCAAGGACTTCACGCTCCACTTGAATCAGCTCGTCTGTAAGTTGCCAATTGTTTTCTCTTCCCAATCACCTTATTCTTTCCGGGGACGGGCCCTCATATCTGACCATGGTTGTATACGGCACACTACAGTGGACCACCTTAAGAAGGTTAACCCCAAGCTAGTTAAGCCTAAGGTTCACATACATCCAAAGAAAAGAAACTGCGATGATCGTTTGCGAGCTATCGATTTCCCCAACGAAATCCGACTTAGAGTCCACCAAACGCCAGATTCCAAGGTTACTGCCAACATGCTATCCGCGGGCCCAGCTGCGATCATGAACGATAAGGGCCTGATGCAGATCTGGTACAAAGATATACTCGCCCGACGATACACGGTTGTTGTCATTCCTCCCAATCTCGACAAATAGATTTCTTTCAAAGGTGGAATGCAACATCCTACTAACCACATTCCAACTCATCACATCCAACCGGAACAGCTTAAAATGTCTTCAACATTCATCGCAACATTTCATAAATACATGGACCTGCCCTATCACCAAAAATCCCCGCTCGCCTGTATCCCTAGTTGATGTCGTAGTCGAATCTAGCTTGGGAAACAGCCTGCATTATGATAAGATCGATACCCGTCCTTTATTGTATATTGTGTTTCTTCATGCTTTTATGTTTATTATGTTTATACCTACATTTGTTTAGATACTTACATTTGTTCCGAACTTTTACATACCTGCTTAATTTGTTTTGATATTGAAATTTATACACCCACTCCTTTATATATACCTGTTCATGTATATGGAGACAATCCGTATACATTCAACCACATAACTACATAATTCCAACCCACAAATGGTTGTCAACCTTGGACTCGCGGCATGCACGATACGACATTGACGGCATCTACATTGACGGCATGGGTCAATGTAGGATCAGTACCGTGCATCTGGCGCCTGCGCCCTGCTGCGGAAAAAAGAGTGATCAACTGCTTACGCGCCCAGATTATGGTTATGATGCGCGCTGCGGCCGCGTCATCCCTCAATTGTGACGGCTCACCCAGGGTGCTAGCACATGTAATGCCACAAACACACACCCTTCGATTGACATTTCCCTGCCCCGACTACATGTTCGGCTCTCACGAACCTCTCTCTCTTCCTCTCTTGCTCTGTCTCCCTCTCGCTTTTTCTCCATCGATGTCTACCACTCCAATTTCCTTCGGATTCTTCATCCAAAACTACACATCCACCTGGACTATCAACAATCAAGCCATCAGAGACTTTAACAGGTGCGCAGTTTCCTTATTTTCCCCTCTTTTCCTCGCTTTTGGACACCAGTGGGGCAGGACTGACAGGTTCAGGCTGCCATTAACCACGAAACGACTCTTGCCAAATGGGGATTGACAGGTTCAAGCCCATTTGGCAATTCCCTTTATTTTTGCAAACCACCCTTTTCCCTATTTCTTGAATTTCAATTTCTCTGAATCTTTACTAACCAAAAGATTCTCTTTTGATCCACCCTCACCTTATTCGGACAAGCTTTTGATTTCTTCAATTTCAATAATCATCATGCCGAAAAAACAATGCGGCGCCGACCTCAAGCTGGTCGGTCGTGGTACGGATGGATTTGCGAGGAATGACATTTCCTGAGATTGTGCGATCAACCGGAATCGATCTCTCCCTCACCACCGTCCGTCGTTGGTTCGATCTTTATCGAACCACGCGTGCTGTCGCACTTCCATCTTTCTATCTTTAGGTTAATAATCATGTACCCCCTTGACATGACCACCACCAACGATTCTTCGAATCTTCAACCAAACCGCACACCCGAAGAAAACCACTTACCAGAAGAGCTAGTCAATCCAACCTAGTTTTTCAGAGTGTTCTAGCGAATATCCAAGTGAGATTCTCGTATGTTATCCAAAAGCATTGACACTGACACAGAACGCTCCCGACAACCCCAATAACTGATGAAAGATCTGAATATATACCCACCTCCAGATGAAGCTACACATGAAGACAGGAACACGCATTTCTACCGTCTTAAAGGCATTTTCCCTCTCCGGGTGTGCGATGCTGACGTTGAAGTCGACCAGTTTCATGCTCTCGAGAGGCAACATCGTCAAGTTTTCAACCTGATACAAGTTAGTTGTTTTATATAGTGCCTGGTTTCCGCTGATCAGCTGATCACTGTCATTCATTTACATTCCGGTTTCCGCTGAATAGTACATGTACTATTTGATCATTTATAGTCACGCCGAAACAGGTCAAACCCCCACACCTAACAAGACCTACACTTCCAACGCGGCCAGCTCCTCAACCCTTTGACAGGGATTAATTAGATGCATTTCAGTAGCTCGACAAGGGAATGCCCCGTAAGTGGCTGCTCTATACAATAACCAGATCTTGAGCTCGCACTGACAATGTTTCAACGAGATTTCCCAAATTCTTCTGAAGATAATCACTAGGTTCTACTTACGCTGTCGCATGCTTGTCTTCCTTTTATAAAATAGTTCATGTCTATCCGATACTTAATCTTTCCTTACGCGCACGCGCGCTTCCTTTATTCGGCGCACGCAGGTAGATAGAAGTTTATCCTATGATTCCTTCATGTATTTCTTTAGTTTGACTTTGACATTACCCTCTTTAATTGTGTTGGTTAGGTTATTCCTTGTTCTCATCCCTGCAACATGAGTGGCTTCGGTCTCGTCGAACCCCTTCTCCTCGCGAAGATCAGACATCCTAGCCGTCCTGGATCATGATGGCTTAGGGGTAAATACACGTTCATAGCCACCGCCGCACCATTTGATAACCCTATCCCGTTTGGATAGGGTTATCCAATTGGGTTCGGGGTATTCTGGGATTATTTTTATTTTATTTTTTTCATCTCAACACCAACACCTAATCATGTTAGCTTTTCAAGTGTACCATCTTACATTTCTGACTTTGATTAGGGAGTCCACCGTGCCTATGATTTGTATTGAGCACAGAATACTTACTTATGTTCCGACTGTAGAACTTAATGCAGTTAGTTTGACCCCCGACCACCCTTTGATTCTTTGGAAATACATTGAACTCAATGAATATCAGTGTGATCTCCCCTTGATGAGATGTGTGACAAAAACAAAGTTGCGTGGCAAAAACAAGTATGCGTTCAATTACTTAGTCATCGAAAAGATTTCTAGATGTGAGAATTTGACTTAGGCCTACCAAACTGTCTTTTGACTGAATGTGAGAGCATTCATTGTGAGAGCCTTACGGAGGCCATCAGGTGTTCAATTATTATCTCACACACTTCCGCATACATACTCATACATACTCATATGCTTTCAACACAGCTTTTATCTGTCAAACCTCATTGGTACTTGAGGGTTTTGTGCCCACCAAAAAAGTTTACACAAGGACAAAAGGGTGCTTCACATTGACCTGTCATCAACGCTCGGATCTCAACGTAATCCGCCGTAACGTTATGTAAAACCCATGACGTTACGGTCAACCGTATTAATTCTTAACCGTTCCGTAACGTTGTGGGGGAGCACCGTAGCAAAATGCTCACTTTGGTACGGTTGTGCCGTAATGAAGCGTACCGCGATGCCTATCTCAGGGCCAGATTTCGGTCGTCGCGGCCTATTCTATTAAAAATATGAAAAAAAAACAAAAAAAGATATGATAATGACCTCTTAACGAGAGACAAGAAAAGAAGTAAAATAATAGCAATACTCTTGAGAGAAAATAGATAAGAAAACATCAAAAGATGAGAAAGAAAGGCCACAAAACAGAAGAATATCATAAAAAGCACGAAAATACCAATTTTTTCTTCATGTTGTTGATTAAAGAAGTTAACAAGAAACGAGAAAAACAATTCGAAAAGAGAACGATTGATTGCGGGTAGTTGTAAGTAGTAGCAGACAACCCATCATCATCTTCTTCATATCTAGCTCTGGCTTCTCGGTGGCCTGAGAAAATGGGATTATTTGAGTTCCAGTTCCGATTCCGTATCTGTCCGGTGGCCAGGTTTTGAAAGATGTTGGGTCAAAAATCTGCTTGCCCGAGTGACTTGACATGACAGCAGAGATACGAGAGCTCGATCGTCCATCTGAGCTTTGGCTAGCTCCATTCGAACGTGGAGGTTGAATGAAATGATGAGGTAAACCAGGTCTCGGTCGATGTGAATAGGATTGAGGTGGAGATGATTGAGAGTTTGTAAGGATCAATATGGTTTTGGAAGGCCCCTGCGTTGAGAAAATTGTGGGATGGTATCAGGAATGTGTGAGGTAATGGGTTAAGGGGAAAACCCTGTATGGAACCGTAGTCATAACGGGTTTTGTCGCGGTTTACCGTAACGAAGTGGACCCGTAATCGTAATTGGGACCGTAACCGGTTTCTGACACTTGGCATTCCGGTACGGTGGTACCGTAGTGTCAAAAGGCGGAATGCGGTACGGCGCGGACCGTAACGTACCGTACCGCTGACCGTAATGACTTCGCTGAGGTCCGAGCGTTGCTGTCATATGAACACCAGCTATGAGTTTCCAACTGCCTATGGTTTTGCCCGTAATATGCGTATTCATACGTGCAAAAATTGGCTGATCCTAATTAGGGCAAGTGCTCAAAACTTACACTGGTGTAAGTTTT